TAATAATTACCAATTTTAGTAGCCCAGAATGGAGAGGTTATGTTTAAGGATGCAAGTCAAAGTTTTGTATCAAGGGGGCTGCGTAATTTAGCAAAGTAAAGTATAATTGGAGAAATAATTATTTATTAAAAGAATGGGTCGTGGTGTCCACAAGGATCTGTTGGAGTCGCTTATTAAGGTAAAGTTAGCAGGGAGGAAAATATAGCTATAGCAAATCGCACATAGGTACATACAGTACCTTCCATTAGGGTAACTGGGTGAGCCAGTATTTAAATAATAAAAGTTGTAGGTCACATATGGGACCCCACACACACACAGCAAAAGGAGGGTGTGGGACAAAAAATAAACTTTTTAATTTTATATTATAATATTTATTATTAATCTAATTCTTTAAAATATGAATTTTTTTAAAAAAATTTTTTCACTACAATAAAAGTATTGGCATGACTGCCGAAATGAAAAAATTTACTTATTAAAAGAAATAATTTAGACACCCATGTATAATAGCAAGTTTATTCAATTTATCATGAGAAACGAGTTTTTGTCTTAGTACCAGTAATATGTATAACGATAATACAGAAACGTCTCAAAAGTCACAGCTCCCGGTGACAATCTTTCTGATATCCCTTATGATGCTTATAATTGTAATTCTACGTAATATGTATTAATCATCTTGAATATTGGGATTAAAATGATAAAGTAATAATTATAAGAAGTATGTAAATTGTTTATGTTTCATTTCTTATAAAAAAGCGAACCTTCGCCTAGCAATGAAGTAGGATTCAATATAATAATAAATCGTATCCCTAGTTCTACGAGTGACTGTAGTAAATTGTTATTAAATACATTGATTATTAAGAACCCCGGTAGTTTGACCGGTTATCACGAAGTACCGAAACGACCTAACGACTGACTCAACCTTTCAATATTCTGCAGATTTAAAAAATTCATATCAAAATCCACGGGTGCTTAAGACATTTACGAATGGGATCCGTATCATTTCACCGACAATCATTTCATCGACAGCTCATTTAGCCGACATCACGCCAAGTGACAATTTATATACCTGAAACTAATAAAACCCTAACCCTAACCCCATGTGATGTCGGCTAAATGAACTTTCGGTGAAATGACTGTCGGTGAAGTGAGCGGCACCGTACGAATGTTAGCACAAGAATAATTATAATTACAATATACGCAGTCAAAATTAATTACTTAAGAACTTATATACAAGTCACTCTCGTTATAGTGAACTCTCGATATAGTGAAGATCTTGATATAGTGAAGAATTGTTTTTAAATTCACCGCCATTATTATTAACCCTTCGCTCGATATAATAAAGTTTAAATAGTATTCTCGCGATATAAGCTATAGTGAAGAATTTTTTTCTCAGCCTGATCACTTCACTATAACGAGAGTAACTTGTATATATTTTATTCTATCATAACGAATAAATGAAAATAGGAAACTCTGATCGAAATCAAAAGAGAGTTATATGAACGGAACAAAAAAAACGTTCAAGATACATGTAATCAACAATATACGCAATCAAATTTAATGTAATATAAAATGTTCAAGAGATCAGTAAAAGCACAGATCATAGGCGCGTAGTAGCCTTCTGTTCAAGGGAAATAGACAGGCCTGTCTTTTGGGAGGAAAATTGCTACTGCAGCAAATCGCGCCTGGGCACCAGAAAGCAGCCGAATGAGTCCGGAATTGTAAAAAAGAGGTCAGTTTTGTATCTAGGGATGTTAAAAAGTCCGGTTAGTCCGGTTAGTCCGGTCCTTAACCGGTTAGGACTACTAGTTAATAACTAGTTCATACTCTAGTCCATCTAACCATATTCCGTCTAAAATATCTTTCTTTAACCAATCGGAGGATAGTATAAAGTTATTAATCGCCCAACTAGTTTTAAATTATGGTAATTTAAATAGTTCTGTTATTGATTTAAATTTATATTTTCTTATTCGATGTGTCAAAAAAGACACTTATTTAATATCATGT